TTTTTGTTTAATGTAAAAAGACGTATAATGATTAGGTAATTATTCTTTCATATTGTCTTCCAAGGAAAGTTGCCAATCATCATTGATTATTACAATATCTTTATTTTTTTTTAAATTTTCATACTCCTGATTGTAAAGGTTCGTATGATAGTATCACTGAGTTTATCCTGACTTCAAACAAGCATGTAAGCGCCGTTAATTTTAATCATTTCTCTTTTCTTTTTCATATTTATTTTCATCCAGTAAAAGGCCCAAGAGCCACTCAATGTAGAGGGTTACCGTATTATGTTGTATGAGAATAAGAGATGGCAAGAAATGCAGTTTAATGAGATCATGTAGGAAAAGTAACACTAGACAGGAAGAGGTTAAGATTATATTGATTTGGAAAAAAATAATTCCGGGAGTCTATCTCACAAAGGAGTAGTCATTTTGAAAAAGCTACCGGCGTGAAAGTTACTTCTGACTATCGGATTACAGAGAAAATGAGGATAATTCATCCTCTGTACGCGGGTCTAAGTTGAAAAAGTTTGGACTGTTGGAACAAAAAAATGTAGCATGGAAATAGCGGGAGATTAGAGAGAGACCTGAGAATATTCAACTGTGGGGAAAAGGGTTGTAGGGTGGGAAATAATTCCCCATCCACAAAGTGATATTAACGCTTTTAACTCTATCGAAAGAGACAAATGAAGACTGAACAACTCCAGCCCATATACGGTAGCAATGGATGTTTTGGTCTGGCTCGTGTAAAGATGACATATAGCAGGGTAGTCAGTTGCCTTCAGAGGATTGATCCTATAATAAGCGTTTTCTGAACAACGGGGGGCAAATATTTTTCGTATTTTCTGACGGAATTTCTAATCGGTATCCCAGCCCAAATAAAAGCAAGGATTTCCGTATATTGATTTTTAAAGAGAATAGAGTGATGCTACTTTAAAAAGCCTACATGTTATTTTCTAAATCCATTAAACAGTTATAAAAAAAAAAAATTGATTGGACTGCGGATGTGATCGTAAAATAACGGTTATTGCCTTGAAAGTGGAATTGGTGAGATGTCTTGAAATCCGGCCTAGTCAGTTGTGTTCACTTTGAAATGATAGTGTTGGAAAAAGCACGAATCCATCTCTGAGACTCAAGCTTTATAGATTCTGCTCTCTAGGCTTGGGTGTCAGCCAGTCTAAGAGATGGGAAACGAAGAATTTAAAACAATGGAGAAAGCAATGGGGAACCACATCCCTTCCCATGGCAATTCACAGATAATAAAGAAAATGAATCTGTGGAGAGTTACGATCGCTTACGTCCGAATGTTATTTAATTAAAGAGAAGTTGGTTAAATGGCAAAGTAAACTTGGTTCGCTAATCTAGGGTGGCAGCCAGTCTAAGAGTTGGAAAATTATGAATTCGGAACCGTGGAGAAATCAACGAAAAACCATTCCACTATATTCGAAAAAATACTTTTCAAAAGTGAGTGATACAACTCTACAGCATAGAGGAGGAGGATGTTTTTTAAGAAACGGTTTTTTATTAAAATTTGTTTTAAATATGCCAGATGGATTAAAATATATCAAAACATTCAGTAAAAATAACTTCACTAGATGATCAAACGTCTACTAACTTTTTATGTTAGTATTATGGGAACTTACCCATAATAACAGACTATTCCTGACATTATAAATACTGCGCTTCTCAAGAGGTATCAAGGGATATTGTAAGACGAGGAGAGATAATTGAGAGCATATAGTCATTACAAATACTTCTACTTGTTTGTATTATATTTCTGTTGTAATATATCTTTGTATTCCATACCTGTGTTCGTGTTATTCTTTCATTGGTTCTAACCTTGGAAGTTGGTTCTAACCTTGACTATCAGATTTGGTTAGAACCAACTATGTTGTCTCGACAAGTATCACTATTCCAATGTCCTTACAATATGCTCTCAATTATCTCCCCGTCTTGCAATATCGTTATTTATTCGTACATTTGTAATAAACCCCCTACAATCCCTAAATGTGCCAGAAACATCAGTTAACTGGACGAAATAATTGCGGGATTATAACATTAAAAAACAAAGCACACCCACAAACACGCACTCATTTAGACACAATAACAAAAACGAAAACACACACACACACGAAACGAAAGTCATCCCGCAACAACCAGAGAACTGACATCACTGACACCCTAACGAGGGAGGGGATGGGCCATTAAACTAAAGAAAAATAGGGACAGAAATAAAAAGGGCCCAAGGAGCATGCATACCCAGCTAAGTTAACCAGAAACGGGAAAACTAAAGATTCAAACTAAAAAAGTCTAAACTAAAATTAATATCGGGCTGGGTTGCCTCTCCCGTCTTGCAATATCACCCTACCTCTTGAGAGGCGCAGTATTTATAAGGTCAGAATAATCCATTATTATTATGGGTAAGTTCCCATAACATTTAGCTATGGCGATTTTTTTATATATAGCTTAGATATGCCACAAAGTCGAAAGTAAGGTACACCTAGTGTAGATCAAACTCACTACTCAGTTGTAATTGAGCTAGAGAGATGGGTTTCCTAACCATTACACCACGTAAGAGTGCGCAAAGAATTTTCTAAACGTAACTTAGATGTGGCATGAGGCCAAAAGAGTGAGACGCCCAATGAGGATCGAACTCACTATTCAGTCGTAATTGATGTAGTGAGACAAGCTTTCTAATCCTTACACTACGTCGCGGTGCCAAAGCGTAGCTTAGTTGTAACACAAGGTGGAAAGTATAGAGGAACAAACTCACTATTAAGCCGTAATTAATCTAACAAGACAAACTTGTTAACCATTACACTATGTCTAGGTGACTCTATTATATTAGCTATGTAAGGGATAAGCTTAGTATAATACAGAATTACAATAGTTTGGAACCCAAAAGGATCGAATATGTTCCATAATGAATGAACTGCTTGCAAACACGTCGCCATAAACTCATTTGTATTATAAAGTTACGTTTGATTTTTTTGTGTTTGTCTCGTTCATCTTTTGTGGTTTTATTTAAAAAAATTTTCGACATCAAATTAATTATTTGTAATAGGAAATTTTATAAAGTAATATTTACACCTGTAACTCAAGAAATTCCGCTTTTTCTGACTTTTTGTCAAATTATGCTTTGCTATTCTGATGACAATCCCTTGCTTGTTCAAATTCATGCCTTTTGGCATGACTAATGGTGTTCTTTGTTTTCAACAACACAAAATAGGCGAAATCATTTCTAAATGTAATTCACTGGATTGTTTTGCGTTCGTCTTTATAAATACAAATACTTCTGTTGGAAGTTATGGGATGTGAGTTATCATTATTTACACTAGTTACATTCAGACTATTGTCCCCATCTTTGTTGTGCCTTCATCAGATGTATATTGATCTGGGCAACTGTTATAGTGGAACACACCTATTCTATAGTTAATAGACTCTCCCACCTATAATAAGTAGGAGTAGTAATAATAACAAGGGAGTCGCTGAGTAGGTCGGTCAGTCAGTCGATGCCGGACGACCGTTAGTCGGATACTAAAATATCAGCGACCACCACTAGATTTCTCTGCGTTATACTTATTATATAAAGTTCCTAACGTTTTGTACGTCGAACCTATTTTAGGACCGACTTAGTACGAATACAAGCCTCCACTGTGAAACCACTCCACAACAGCAACCTACAGGGAATTTCAAACTGAACCCTTTATTTAATCTACAGGGTTTAAACTGTTCTCATTCCACTGCCTATATCTAGGGATTTCTCATCTAGTTCTTATTTTTAGTGAGTCCAAGTACACACTACCCGGCCCAGGGACTTAACATACAATTATTATGTTACCAAATTCATGAACCAACATTTTAATGCACTAAGCTATGTAGTAGAACTTGGAGTCTTAAACCTAACCTGCTGATGAGTGCTGCTGCTGTCATTTGTCATGAGTGACTGTGCTAAATGAAGCTTTTCTGTTTTGTTACAGTTGCTGCTGATGTTGAAGACTTGCTATCATTTGTATTTATTTCTATGCAAGGCCTATTAAGGAGCTCCTCAAATGCCTAGCATATGCATTGATTCTTTCAGATGTATAACTCTCCAGTTCAGTATTTTCACTTCATTCCACAGGCGCCGATGACTACCTTTTTCCTTCCATATATGCTCAGCCATGACTGATTTCATTGTTTCACCCCTTACTACAACTTTTCACGGTTTCTCCGGGCTTATTTTTAGGGGGCATCTTGTTTCACCAATATATTCTTATAATAACTGATATACTTCATCAAGTGTATATTGATTACCTGGATTGATATACACCAGGTGAAGGCCGGAGGGCGCAATGGCTGAACTGTTGTGATAACAAAAACAAATATAAGGACAATAGTCCAAATGGAATAATAGACTGAGCAGTATTTCAGTTTGGACTATAAAATGTAAGGCAAATTATTCATACTATAAAATGTAAGGCAAATTGCCTCAGTTTATTGCCACTTAAGGTTTGAACTTTCTTCAATTTTTTTTTTTCTTTTTATGTGCCATGTCCTTTCAGGACGTAGGCGTTCATGGCTCTCCACCTCCTTCTATCCCTTGCAGCTTTCAGCAAGCTCCTTCCCACCGTTTCCTCCTCCCAGACCACATTCTGTCATCCACCTGCTCAAGCTCATCAGGTATGTCACACGCTGCTTTCCCTTGTCTCTCTTTCCCTCTATTTGACCCATGAGTATCAGATTCTCCAGGCCTTCCTTCCTCATTATGTGTCCCAGTAACTTCAGCTGCCTCTTCCTGATGTTAAGTATAAGCCTTCTCCTTGTTTGTAACCGCTCTAAGATCTTATCGTTGCTCACATGCTCGGTACATGATATCCTTAGCATCCTTCTATAGAACCACATCTTTGCTTTTTCTGGTCATTAAGGAAGAAGTAGATATGCTAAATCAACTTTCAACATTTTATGAACACCAAAAGTTTGTCAATATATTTACATATATCTACATATAATTATGCAGCAAACTAGATGAAAAAAAATAGAATAGGACTAAAAGCATTACTCACAGGGTCAGAAGGGTCACCCACAACACACATGCTTGAATCACCCATATAATAATGTGATGGGACCTGCAAAATAGAAACAGAAGTGATATGCATACATTTTTAGGTACAGTTGATGGAAATCCTTTAAAAATAACTACAAAAAATAAATCTAATCTAATCTATTCTTCAGTATTTACATTTGTGGTAGGAAAAGTAAGTTTTGCCAAGCATAACTCATCACTGAAGAAAAAAGAAAATTTTAAAAAATCCCAGACTTATAAATAAAGTGCTGAAAATTAATTCTGATTTTTGTTCATTTGATCAGATTTTGAGAAGATGGTTGAGTTTAGAATTTTTCAGCATTCCTTGTGTGTGTGTGTGTGTATATATATATATATATATATATATATATATATACACACACACACATACAAACACACCTGACGATTGCATCTAGCATGAAAACAGCCTGTCACCTCTAAGTGCTAACTTCAATATTCACTTTTATTTATATATATATATATATATATATATATATATTAAAATTTATTGATTTAAAATATGGTTTTTACGCTTTTTGATTCTAACCATGTTTCATAAAAGGAAGCTAAGATTATATATCTTAATGTTCTTTCTTTTTTTATATATATATATATATAAAATATCTGATCAAATTACCAATGAGTAGGAATACAAAAGCTAAATAAAAATTACTAGACTTCAGAATGAAAACTTTTTCAGCAAATAAAAATCACAATGAAAAAAAAAATATTAATTATTAAAAATTAACATTATAAGATTAATATGAAATACATATTTGATATAAATATTTTAAAAAGTTAACATTGCAAATTGATTTATTAAAGATATTTTAAATTAATACATGATAAAATCTTTAAGAATTAATTAATCAGACATGTTACAAGAACAAAAACAAAAAAGAATATCATGAAAGTGGAAAAGTTCATAATAGAGATTGGCAGTAATGGAGTGATGTCATGAAATCTATTGACTATTTCATTTTCTTAAAAAAATAAATGCATTTAATGATGTAAGAGACAATTTTTTTTTAACTTACCATAATTCCCCATGTATAATACAAATTTTTTTTCTAAAAAAAAATCGGTTTGGTATCCGTTCATCTGGGGAGACAATGGAGTAACGCTCAGTGCGCCACAAGCCTGGGTGGGATGTATGGAGAACTAGGGCTGCCCGGATGTCTAGTTCCCCTTCTCATCCTTGCTAACAGAGTCCAAACGAGAGGATAAACCAATACAGTTTGGTACCAGTGAGGCTGCAGGAGTTGCCGGAAGGTAGCACAGAGTGCCGTCCATCTGCCTCAGGGGCTCCACTCTGGATTTGTGTAGGGTCTTGGCCTTTCCTTCTCCTGAAGACTTCCACAAGGCAGTGGATGTATTTAACCAATAGCTGGGGTTTGGTTCATGGGCACTTGGGCATGTCCACACACTGGTGAGCCTGCATGCCACATGTTAAAGGGCCAAAATCCCCCATCCCCTTTAGTTTAGCCAGAGTTCAAAACATGATTAGTTTTGTGTTCGCCATTCTTACTACATAGGGCTTGCTTTTGGAGAGACTATATACTGGCAGGTGAAGACTTTTAACTTTATTAAATATCTTTTTTTCCCTGCTAGCTAATGTCCTCTAACTGAAAATTGAGAAGTGACAAACACTACCACTACAGACTACCACACTAGATGGATCACAACAGCCAATAATAAGCAAGAAATCAGGGATGTATAATATGCACAGCTACAAAAAAACTTTTTAAAAATTGCCATAAAATGAAATAAGAATTATCATAAAACTAAATTAGAATATTATTATTCTATGTTTAAAACTATTTTTTTAATAATAGTAGGAAACGCTCGCCATAATGAAATTGGAGGGGTACAATTTATAGGGTTTGATTACCAAACAAGGGGTGCATATTATGCATGAGTAGAAGCATTTTCCCCACACATTCAGCACAATTTTAGGTGTGCGTATTATGGATGAAGGTGTATTATACATGAGGAATTACTGTAATCCATTTTTGAGAATCTGCTGGATGATTAGTGGATGAATCAAAGGTTTTATGCAATTTACATGAAAATGCAATAGTTCATGGTTAAAAGTGAAACAAAAAAAGTTTACAAATATAATGATCATTTTTTTTTTATCATCTAATATTTAAGAAAGAAAATTATAGAAAACTTGTGAATTGAAAGGAGAGAAAAAAAAAGGTTTGCTTACATTTTCAGGACGAGTAAATCCAAGTATTTTGAAACATTTTTCAGACTTGTATTTCATTTCCTTCTTGTCTTTGTCACTCATTGGCACCAAAGTAGATCCATAACGATAACCTGTTCAGAAAATTAAAAGTAACTCAACTCTTGGAATAAATAAGATGCCACAAATAAGTCTAATTAATTTTGCCAGTTTCATAATTTTCAGAGCAAACATTACCATCTCAGATGTTGAGTTTAAGGAAATTGAATGTGTTCTATAATTTAAACAAATCCTGCTATGATAATAACTGCTAATGCTTACACTAAAGTCAGTTGTGTGTGGATTGTTTTGTTTAGTAGGTGCATGCTGGTGAGAATGAATTGAGTCAATCAGCATTTACATTTTTTTTTATTTCTTACCATTTTTGTTTGTTCTAACATGCTAAAAAGAAACTCTCTGCACACCTGAAAAAGGCACTTGCAGAGTGGATCAGGCAAAAAGAGAGCCATCAGGATGTTTAAAATCATATAATATAATATATATATATATATATATATATATATATATATGCAAAGATCAAAAGAAATACCAGAAGCTTCAAAAAAAAAAAAAAAAAAAAAAAAAAAAGTTGAAAACTATAATGATGAAAAAGGTTACAAAAAATCAAATTGATTTGGAGCACCCTTTTCCAGTGTGCAACAAATTATTTATACATGGAAGGCTTTTGGTGTGATGCCATCACAATCAAGAAGTGGCTGTCCACAAAATGTATCAGCAAGAGCAAGTAGATATCTAGTTCAGCAGGTAAATCCTGCTGCGACCTTTGCAGTTCACCAATACTCAATGGCCAATGTCATAATCAATGCTAATCATCATGGCAGAATCCCTAGAAAAAGGCCACTGCTTACGAAACAGCACAAGCATGCTCACTTCAACTATGCCAAAGTGCATATTAATAAGTGAGAAACATTCTAGCAAAAAGTGTTATGGTTGGATGAGACCAAACTATAGCTTTTTAGGAGTAACAATAGGTGGTATTTCTGGTGAGCTCCTAATACAGCTTTTTAAGAGAAGAATTTGCTACCAACCATTAAACATGGCAGTGACAGCATTATGATTTGGAAGTGCTTTGCTGCAGCTGGAACAGGCAAGATAGTACGCATTGATGGCACAATGGACTCTGCAAGATTACGAGCAATTTCAAATGAAAATGTCTTGTCCTCAGTTCAAAAGTTGGGTTTAGATCGGGGGTTGGAACTTTCAACAGGACAAAGATCTGAAGTATCAAAGCAAATCCACAAAAGAATGCGTTTGTAAAAAGAAATTTCAAATCTTGGAATGGCCTAGTCCTGATCTAAAGCCAATTGAAAATCTGTGAAAGGAAAGCAGTGAAAGAAGGCAGTACATACAAGAAACCCAGGTAAAAATAAAGCAATTGTGGGAGTTTTGCCAAGAAGAATGGTAAAATAATTAGCGCTCACTACTGCCAGAAATTTTGTAAAATTTATAGAAAATGCCTGGTTGACATTGTCACCTCAAAAGGAGCAGTCATCAAATATTAAATCTAAGGGTTCACTTACTTTTGCATATCTTAATTTTTAATTACTATTTTTATTCCAGCTTGATAAAAAATATTTGAAAATGGTGGTAATTGATTTAATAAAAGTTTAAAATATTATCTGAAGGATTCACAGCACTGTATACACACATCTATATAACAATGAAATATTATAAATTAACTGATTTAAAATATGGTTTCTTCACTACACAGAAATTACTATGAAGCTAAAAACTTCATTATATAATTAAATTAAAAGCACTAGCTTTGTTTCATCTTCAAGCGAATTTTGGAATAACTTATTTTTAAATTTACTGAGTTTTAAACGTACATACAATTCATAATTTTTTTGTCTCCAAGGATAACAATGAAATATAGCTTAACAAAAACAAATGGACATTTTAAAAAGTATATATCAACACAGTTGTAGAGCACATTCAGATTACTGTTTGAAAATGTTCAAGACCCCATATATTAAGTCTAAGCAACCCACCCTTTGTAAGCATAAGGAATGGCTACTTGTCTTAATATAATCAGTTTGTGACTCATAGGGATGATTCACTGGTAATAAATTTTTTCCTCCCATCATAATTTTAGTTGTGCACAAATTTATGTTTTTGTCCTCAATTGAGCTTTGAAGAACAAGGAGAAATAACTGATTAGCTTCTTTTTTTTTTTAAATATAACTTTTTGATTTACCACTTCATGGTAAGTAATTTTTTCCTTGCTCTTCTTTTCCATTTTAATATATTTGTACATATGTTAATATATACTTTAAAAAATGTCTGTTTTTAGAGTTATAATAAAATTTTGTACCCCCCACCCCAATAAATGATTAAAAAATTAAATAAGCTGTCAAGGATTGAGGGTACAAGAAAAATGTCTTCTAAATGAGTGAAGTGCTGAGTTACTGGATTTGATGGCATACACCACCCATCATCTCCATTTAATATTGGGGTATTACGGATGTTAGATGAGATACAAGTACTTGTAGTCTATAGAATCTTGGTCAATATTACCCTTTGCAGATAAGACACAAGGGATACGTTGTAAATACTTTTTGATAGGAGTAGGGTCAGCAGTGTAAACAAACAACAACTTTGACATCAAATAGAGGATTTCGGATCTGAAGATACCATTTTATATACAACTAGCAGCATGGCTCAGCGTTGCCTGTGCTTGATTCAAAAATCGTAGGACTCATACAGCAATCGCTATCACTTGACTTAAAATATTTTTGCCCTTCCTTGCCTTTAAAGGAGTGCCCTTTGCCATGCTGATGTTGCTACATGCCTTACTTCTTGCCTATCTCACACTGCGAATTTTTTCAAAGCTCTATACTAAACATTAAATCTGTTACAAAAAAAAACTAAACAAAATGAACACAAAACGATCAGCTTTAAAAAAGGACTCGTAACTGGAAAAACCGAATGAAAAAAGAATGTTAACAACAAATACTTTTTCACACCCAACCCAGTTCTGCGGAATCAGAATCAACTTTGAGTTTAAGCAAGCGAATGAGCCAATTGGAGTAAAGTGCCATGCAGATTTAAATTTTTCCCACTTGTGACAAATGCAGCTATCGATTATTTTTGCATGCTAGTTAACATTCGTGTCAGTCAGCTGTTGGTTCTCACGCTGGCCAATAGAATCTTCCTGCCTATTCCTGGCAGCCAGCTATTGGCTCTCAATCTGGCCAGTACAAAATGGTTGCAAACTACATGAAAACTGCCGTAGAAGCATGAAAAAAATCAATTATTTCCACTATCGATGCGAGTTGGGAAATGTTTTGGCGTTCCCGCTAACTTGGAGCATGTGCATGTAAATTTTGGTGCAATCCGTCGAAAATTGCGGCCATGCATTCATTACACACACATCCTGCCTTTTATAGATAGAGATATCAAATTCCCAAACTCAAAATTCTGGTGCCAATCTACATATGTTTTTTTTTCATTACTTTATATACAAAATTGATTCTTAAATTTTATTATAAAAAATGAAGTATTTTTCCAGAGTAATACATGTAAAAAATCTCTTCTGAATTTTTTTTAAGAATTGTTCGTATTTCAAAATTATAGAACAGATAGGATAGACAATTAAGTTGATTGTTAAGGACTGGTTATGTCTTTGCATTGAACCTTGTAAATATTTACAGTGAGTCTGGTAAATTAAAACTATAAATAAAATTATAATTTTTTTTTCCAGTGCTGAAAGTATTGATATAAAAATAGATCTTAAAATTAATGACTGACATTTTATTAATAAAATAAGCATCAAAAACTGAATATTTTTCCATGAATAAAAATGTTCATTTTTTCGATAAGAGATTTTGTGGTTGCATAATTTTTATGAGTGTTAAACTTTGAACAATGGATCTTTTAGGGTTTTTTTGATTTCTGTAAATTTGATTAATCAAATAGAATTCTATATAAATATCAAAAAGATTCACCATCAACAACTTCATCATTGCCAATTTCCGTCTCCTGCTCATCATTTAAGTGGAATGTTCTGGCTGTAGTGAAAGTTGCATCAGGATCTTTAGTGTAAACCTTTTTCCAGGATTGTTTAAGTTTATGGGCTTTCACCTGAAATAAAAAGTAAAAATAATAAACAAATATACAAATAATTACCATATTCTGTATTTGATGTCATATAAGACTTCTCTCCACTTTCAGTTCAGCAGGAAATATGAAGAAAAAAAAAATATTCTGAATGGCACACATCAGTTGTTATTGAGGGTTCAGCCATGTTTCCTATTTGGAACTTGTTATAAACATGTTTCATGCATATATAAGTTCATGAAATTATATTTGAGGAAAAAACATGAGTTTTATATGTCTTCAAATAAGGAAGAATTGCATACAAGACAGTTCTATGCCAAAGTTGTGCCATATGATTTTTTTTGGGGGGGGATTCATATTTTTCTTCAAATTGCATATGAAACTTGTTTTCATTTTTGAAAAATATTCCAAGATTGTTTATAAAAGCAGAGCGGGTTTTCAAGAATATTTAGGTTGAAATTACAATAAGGGGTGCAAGACAAATAAACACAAGGCCAATGGGTATGTGAGAATTTCACAAAGAGAGAGCTAACACAAATAGCACATGGGACAATTCGGCAGGTGACACTTTTGCCTAAAGGGTGGCTAACACAAATAGCACATGGGACAATTCGGCAGGTGACACTTTTTTGCCTAAAGGGTGGCAACACAAATAGCACATGGGACAATTTACAGGTGACACTTTTGCCTAAAGGGTGGCTAACACAAATAGCACATGGGACAATTCGGCAGGTGACACTTTTGCCTAAAGGGTGGCTAACACAAATAGCACATGGGACAATTCGGCAGGTGACACTTTTGCCTAAAGGGTGGCTAACACAAATAGCACATGGGACAATTCGGCAGGTGACACTTTAATAAAAAGGAAAAGACTAGCACCTGGAATAAGCATTCCAAGGGAACATAGCTAACGCCAATTCTTCCCATCTGCCTGACTGCACACATTTCTATTGCAGAGTAATGTCGGCAAAAGCCTGGATAGAAAAACTGCTGACAGAAGACTAGAAGGGAAACATTGCTGACAGAAGCGTCGATGTAACAGGTTTCAAAACTGACTTCACATTTGTACTTGCTATTTTTTTTCTTTTCCCCTTGACCAATACACATGCGATTTTGGTTTTGATTCAATATCTTGAACTTTTGCTGAATGCTCTGATGAAACAAAAAAATATTGTAAGTGATCGTCTGAAGGTGACAGGTATAGAAAATATGTCACATGTTAAAGAAACTGTGAACCCAAATTTATGAATGTTTGTTGCATCAGATTTGTAACATAACATGTATTGTCATGCAGAAAAAAAACAAAATCAAAATGTTTTTTCTTTGCCCAGCATACGATCCCTCCGTATCTAAAACATCATTCAAACATGTCAGTTGCTCATTATAGTATCACACAGCAAAAGTTCCAGTGATACATAACAAAGAATTTGAATCCAACCAAACTTTTTTCCTCAATAAGTTCCATATCAGGTAAGCTGTCTTAAGCCATGATTTTCTTGATTCCCAGTGACTATCTTTCATGGAAATAACTTTCTTTTTTTTTTTCTGTATTACACAGAAAGAAACACACAAGTGTTCAAATACTGATCAACATCCCTTTCTGTCAGCTTATGTAGAATCTATTTCTATTGTGCTTGTAAAAAACCTAAAACTGTTGAGTGATTAAAAACTTTTGCAAGTTCACATACTGGTTGTACTGCATCTTGCATCTTCCATAAAAAAAGTTCCTCCAATTTATCAAGTTTAAAATTCTGACGTCTTTATGCATGAACAAAAAGAAATTTTTCTTTTAAAAGTTCACAAAGCATTTCCAACACATGCTTTCACCTACTTCATCATTAACACAAATTTCAGTGATTATGTAGTGATATGTAAATGAAGTACTGTATAAAAGGCAGTATCGCTATACCTATGGCAGAGTTATCTACTCTTGATGAGATTACATCTGTCAGGGAGAATACCTATCATAACAGTATGGCATCGCCGATCAGTTACTTAGCCACAATGGAGGATCCTTAATATGTGGAAACCTGGCTTAGGTGTTTCACAGCAATGACAAGAGTAAAAAAAGGACACCAAAGCTAGTGAAGGAGAAAATGAAGTTACGTATTTGTTTTTGGCCTCAGCTGAGTGTGAAGCCATGAAAAAATATCCTTCATGGTCTATCCCAAAATGTTGGAAGATTTAGCCTATGAGGAAATTGGTCATAATGGAAAGAACTAAATTTTCCGAAAGTAGACAGAGACCGGATGAAACTATTATGAAATACGTGCAGTGATTGAATGAAGAGTTGAGATATTATGAGATATTATGAGATATTATGTTTATATTATGTTTATATTATGCTTATGATATTATGAGATATTATGAGTTTGATTGAATGTGTTTGGAACAAATATCTATCGAAGAAAAACTAATTTTGCTAAGACTGATTGAAGAAATGTTTGACATCTCGTACAAGAGTAGCTTCAAGCTCATAATATAAATCTGGAAGCATGTGGGGATTTCTTACATCTATTCTAGAGACATGGAAGAGTATGTTAAAAAATGCCCAAAGTGTGCAGAAATAAAGAAATTTAGGCAAACTAAAATTAACTCTTGGCCAAAGGAAATGGAGCCATGGACACAAGTACATATGGATCATGCCTACATTAAAGGACTATTTCTGATATTAGTCAACTCGTATTCAGGTTGTCCTGAAGTTATTAAAGTCACGGATAGAAATAGCCGCTACTGTGAAGAAGCGGGTGTTGAGGATAGTGTTTTCAAGAAATGGAGCTCCAAAAAGGTTGGTTTCTGACAATACACCTGAGTTTTGTGAAGAAAGTTTATGTGCATTATTAAAACATTTAACTGCATTCCATACAATGCACCACCTTATCACCCACAGTCAAATGGAATTGCAGAGAGAATGGTTCAAACAATAATAATGGTATTAAAACCATTCTCTCCAGTGGATTGTCATATAGAGTTAATTTACCCAGACTACTCCAAAGTTATAGAGCTATTTCGCATGGTGGCAGAAGACAAAGCCCATCTTCATTGACGGGAAGACAAGAGCTCTGATTACCATGTCATTTGTAACAAATAAAAATGTGTGTACAGAAAGAACAAGGATTCAAGTCTTGAAAAGAAGAATTTTGGGGTGCAAAAGAAATTTAACACAACTATGTTAACAAAGGGACAGGGCATACTGGCTCACAAAGACCAATTTAGAACCATAAGAGAGCATGAAGTTATGGAAAAGGAGGAGAAAGTGGAAGCAGATGAACAGATGGCACAAGAAAGGATGAATTAATCCAGTATTGAGAGTGATCAGGAAGACTACCAGAGAGATATGAAAGTGAAGAACAGGAGAGGGAGGAGAGAATGGGTGTATCCAGTAGTAATGAGGAACAATTTAGGGATAAGAGTGATCGGAGGTATCATGATGATACAAATGAGGAGAATCAGTTAAGACCTAGATCTCACATAAAAAGAAATAAAGAGACTCACTCTGAGAGACGGGTTGTTCATAGAACAACTAAAGGTGTAAAGCCTCTTAGATTCAGGGAGGTGTAGTGATATGTAAATGAGGTACCGTATAAAAGGCAGTATCGCTATACCTATGGCAGAGTTATCTTCTCTTGATGAGACTACCTATCATAACAGATTCATTGTCCAGCATCTATTGCACTTTTTTCTAAACTAAACACAAAGAATAAATAATGTTCACTGTCAATTTTAAATTCAATCATGAAAATCTGCAAATAATTTTTAAACAATACATACACACAAGCAAGACACTTCTAAAATTTCTGTAACATTGCAAAAATGATGGTGCTGGATTTATTTGCATCAACCTAATAAATTTGAAACATTTTTCTTAAGTTTTTCAAATATCTTAATAGAAATTAATTTATATTAGGTTTGTAAGTCCTTAAAACCCTGCTTCAAAGTTGGAATGTCTCTCTCTCAAGAAATAAAAAGAACAGATATTACACTTTGATCTTAACGACTGAAAAAAGAAAGAAAGAGGATAGATGCATTATGGCTTAAATAAGACATTTTGTTTAGTTTATAATTAACTGCTGCATAAAATGGAGATGAAGCAAAAAACAATTAGCTCAGGTTAATGATGCTCTCAAAAGCTGCTTCAACTCAAACAAGAAAAAGAATCTTACTACAAGAAATATATAAGAAGAAGGCATATCATAAGCCTGTTGTAATAAGCATGTCATAAGCCTTATCATAAGCAAAATGTTAGTCATTATTGGGATTTTATTTAAAGATAACTTGAAACTATTGTAGTTATTAGCCACAGTAAAATGTAATTGACAGAAATGTCCAACAAACAGAATTGACAAAGTTTCCAATGAACAATACCAAGAGAAAGAAAATAAGAGGGCAAAAATAATACTGAGCAAACAATATATGCAAGGCAAAACAACAATAATAAAGCAAAAAGTTCACAAACTAAGAATGGTGTTAACACACAAAAGGGATACAGACTAGTGATCATAGTGTTCTGATTCCAAGACAAAAAAGAACAGAATTAAGTCAGAGGAGACCAAAAAGTGGCCTATCTTATTAGCTAGGAAGAAATCCCAGAATACATCTATGTTTTGTTTATAAATTTGGGGAGAGGAATGTCATTCCTATACAGATTGGAACCAACAACTATAAAAGAAAAATTAATAGAAAACCTGTATCCATCTTACCTTGATATAACCATGTATAGGAATGGTTATAAGATCACCAATCTCCAAATCACACTTCCATGCAGATGGGTTTGTTTGCCTTGAAGTAAAGTGACTTAACATAGACAATGCCTCTCTGTAAACCAGAAAAAAGAAATATTACAGACTAGACAATAAGGTTTACTTGTTCTTTGATTAGAGGCAAAAGAGAAATGATTCTAGAGAGAAGCATGAATAAAAATGAATGGCTTAAGATACAGACGGGGTAGATAGCATACAAAGTTTTGAATGAATTATTGTTTCATTATTTGGATTACCATTCTCATTTTTGTTTTGATCAAAATGTCTTTGTTGTTTTGTTCTCTGGCTTTTTGAAGGTGTGTATGTGTATTATATGTGGTAATCATGAAGAAGCTTTGAACAGAAAGTTAAATATTTCTTCTTTTCACTTATTTTTATTAACTGTGTCATTTTTACAAACAATTTCCAGTTCAGAACAACAAACATTTATAATGCACTTGTAAATTTTCTTTTTTACTGAACAATATTTGTCCTTGATCTATATATGAATTATTCCTAATTGTAGAAATCATGAGAGTTGGCAAAGAAAATGTTTAGAAAAGTATAGAACAATGACAATAATTTATCTCGGAAATTCAGATGATATTGAAAGAAAAAAAAAGAAACAAAAATGATGGCGATATTCCTTTTTTCCAGAAACTACTTAATGTTGTACAATATCATGCTGTAATGACAATGCTGATTGGCTGACACACAGGACATTATTTATAAAGACAATGTTGATTTGCTAAAACATAGCCAATACATTTACCTATACTTGAAATAAAATAGTTGCTAGCTATCACTCGAACTGGGTACCCATGTCCCCTTTTTTTTCCTAGATGTAATACCACACTTAAGAATGTTAAAAAATATGCTAGCTGAAAAATTGATTAAAACAACATTTTAAAAAAATAACGCCATTCCCTTTCAGGATGTATCTGGCCATTGTTCTTCAGATTCGTTTTCTTTATTATCTGTAGATTGTCATGCATTCTTGGGAAAAACAATCAAGTAGTTTATTCTTGCCTTTTCAAGCATTTTAGAATTTAGAGTTATCTTTCTCTCAGACTGGTTGCCACCCAAGGAGCAAGAGTCCAGTCTACCCTGGTATCTAACCCATAGCTGGAAGAAGGAGGAGATATGGGTTCATGCCTTTCCCAAGGACACTTATGCAAAAGTAAAGATAACAACAACAACAGATGGAACTTCTTACTCAAATTACCAATTCCATTGTCCATGGCCACTATACTATGTACACATTTACTGAAACAACTTACTGAAAAATTCATGGAATAGAGATAAAAAATGATTTGAAAAGCTAAACTGAATACAATTAGTCAAAAGTTAATAATAATAGCTTACAATGTTTCCTAAGCTAATAAAAATTCACAATAATATTAAACTATTTTTAACATTCAAAAGAGCATTTCTATAGGGATTTGAAAACTTTGTATATCTACCCAAAAGAATAAGAATTTCCATTGGTTTCTTTGAGCATTTTCTTCACAACAGCTTCTCCTGCTCTTTGTTGTTTGGTCTTCTCTTTCTTAATACCATTTGTCATGGTATATTGATCACCAGAACCATCCTCACTAATTTCATAATCCAGGTCAGGACCACTGAAATGAAACCACAACTAAATTATTTCATTACAGTTTACAGTTTGGTTTGTTTTGTTTTACAGCATATCAACCTCAATGGGTTATTTAATGCTGACAAATTTTATTGCTGGTAATATTTTTTTTTTTTTCAAAATTTATTTCTGTTAATATTTTTTTCTTTAAAAATCTATTTCTGGTAATATTTTTTTCAAAAAATGTATAGATGTTTGTACTGCTGGTAATATTTTTTTTTAAAGTATTGCTTCAAAAAATTATTGCTGGTAATTTTTGTTTTTTTTACAAAGTATTTCTGGTATTAAAACCTATTTTTACACTTTCATAGTATTTTGACCAAAGTTTGGGTCTTAAATATTTGCCCATAGCTGGAGCTCTAACAGTTGCTACTAGCCCAGGTGAGAGTGGACCTGGGAACACCAGCAATTAAGAGGTGGTTCCACACTCCTCAAAACCGCCTGATCAGAGGCCTTGCTGTCAGATGTAGTTTATCGTCTTACCCAGGGCAGAAATTCATTTTAAATCACACTATATCTTATATAAACATAATTACTATTGTTAGCATCCATGAGTGTCCAAACCAAAATTTCTAATTGTATCTGATTTAGAAACAAAAGAGACAAAAATTAAATAGGGGAAAGAAAAATTTTAATTGTTTTCAAAATCTTAAAATGATGACAAATACTTGATTGACTTTTGTAGCAAATCTACCAAATGTTTCATGACTGAAAAGTAAAAATTGTCTTGCTGAGCACAAAACCTAATTGAGGAAAATATGATTAAGAAGATTGTTTTGTGCCAATCTTTCAACTGGAAGGATATGACTGCCTTGAAAAATCAGTGTTTGAAATTCTGACTTTTGACTTCGTCTGGTACAAATCTAAATAAAGTGTAACGCCACTGTCAGCCCTAGTTAGCGGTAACCAAATATGTAACCCCACTCATTAGTCCTTATCGACAGCCACCAATAATGTAACCCTATGTGCTGCATTGGTTTTCAAGTTTATTTAGACCACCGTGGTTACCACTCCGCTGACTCTTCACTGGTATTATGATGGTAGACACAGCTCCACTCGACTTAGCTGGTGTGTGTTTGTTCATAACCATTTGCTCCTCTGCCACGTTGTGGTTTTTTTATCTCAGAGGGTGAGAAGATTACTGATGAAGCAAACTGAAGTTAAGGTGGTTTGACAGCTGAAGCTATACAAAAAACGAGAATTCTTTGGAATAAAGAATTAACTCTGGTTAAAAATGTAACAACAATTTGGTTTACATATGATTTGTTGTATACAGTGGTTTTAACGCTTCCCACTTGTTTTTATAATCAAATGACACTGGGATTACCTTCAAAGTCTGTAGCTTGTGTTAGTTGTAACTTAAATTTCTAAGTCCTGGTCTTCAGGGATGGCACAAGGTCTTGGTTAGGTCTCAGCAAACAATGTGGGTTCCAGTAGCAGTGGTGTGGTGACTATCTAAGTTGTCCAAAGCTCTGGCTTATATGGAGTTCTGTGTCCGGCAGGGGTGGGGTTGACGAGAGTTGTCTGCTACCCTAAGCATCAACCTTTTCTAAATTTCCATATATAAAAATACATTTACTCAAGTGGTTTTCCAAATTTGGGGTTATCCAGCTTCCTTTTGAGAGTAGCCAGAGAAATGAAGCCACCACTTAACTTCAACTTCCTTCATGCCTCACCTTGCACCATAGCTTCATATATGTGGTGCTAGTCTCTCTTCCTTCTCCTACTTTCTCAGTAGCTAACCTCAGCCTGCACCTAGGGAGACTATAATCAGTAATCACTCTTTTTGATTCTACTAAATGTAAACAATTTCCAAATTAATGAGTCATTTCTTTAAATTGAATAATGTAGCCACACCTAAACGATTAAAAAAAAATCCAACTAATTCTTATTGTTCATTGTATGAAAACTTTGTAATTGTTTTCTCTCTCTCTTCAAAATGAATCAAAATAAAGTGTAAAATAAATCAAAATTTACTTGTATTGACAGTATGCAAGTTGAAGCACAGAATATTGTGCCGATTTTCAAATTTTTTTTATTGCACTTACTGTTCAGTACACTATTGTACTGTATAAACATCTAGAAATATAAATGATTCCAAAGTGACATTAAAGCTAGTTAGCACAGACCTATTACATTGGTAGAATCCCTGAAAAAGCAGTAAAGTACAACTTCTCATTTAGTGAACAAGTTGTCAAAATGGAACCTCTGGTTGTTAAGAGAAAACTGGCTGAACTAATACCAGCTGAGCACTTATAAAAAAAATAAAAACTTGTCAGAAGGGGTTTCTTTTTTTATATGACCTTTAAAAAGGTAATAAAACTTGTTGTATATCAAAGAGAAATTTTCAACAATGTAAAACAGGGAATCAATTACTATGGTATTCAGAGTTTTGAAAACTTCCTTCAATTGATGATCAATCGGAAATTCTAATGGAAAAGAGTTACCAACAATCAATTGAAGCTATGATCAATCGTTGGAAATCCTAATGGAAAAGACCAAGTTACCAACAATCAATTGAAGCTATGATCAATCCTAATGGAAAAGACAGAGTTACCAACAATCAAGTTTTTGAGCATGTGAATCAAATCAATATTCAAGTTATCATCATACATCCCTAATGTCAATGGATAGGAATTTGACATTCAATTATGAAACATTTGCAAGTGACTGACCAACCATGGAAGGAATTTTTTTTCCTGGAAATTAAGAAATCCAAGATCAAATGAACATTGGATGCAGATGCCAAACAAGAAACATGTAAAGCAGCAACAGGAATGGTTCAACATCCTAAACATCATTGGGGAATTTCTATTGTGTGTGGAAGAACATATCTGTTTTTCCCTCACACACAGACAGACACAGAAAAAAATTCTGGAATACTTCTCAACAACTGGACTTGCCAATGATGATGCTAATTTTATTTTTGCTTACCTTAATTCTTGAACACTGATTTATCTTCTTTTTTTTTTTTAACAAGTTTTTCATGCACAATATGCAGACTGGAATGTACAAAAATTTTCTTTCTTTCTTATTTTCAGACTTACATGACATTCAATTCTGTTCCTTGAGTCTTCATTCCTGCAATGATGTCATTCAGTTGATCATCTTCAAATGGATTATCAAAATTAGACAACAATATCACTTGTTTGTTTTTAAAACCTTTTTTGTATCTGAAAAATAAACAAAATTTAAGTATCAAATATTTTTTAGTATAATTCTTTTTCCTGTTTCAAAATGCTTAGATATCTCTTATAGTCTAATGTATTGTTTGAAAAATATCTTTAAGTCTCTCATGTCATCTACTATAACTAGAAATTCCAAATTAAACAACAGATTTAAAGTAAAAGAATCGGAATGAAAAATCTCACAGGAAACAAATCCAGGATCTAGCAGAATTATATCTAAAAATAATTTGGGTGATGTATTTAATACAGATTGACCCTTACTAATATAGGATTTGACCGATAACGTTGATTAGTTTGTATATTTTGATAGGAAATTGACACCTAAGACAAAAAATAAAAACTTGTATGAAAGGAAATTTCGTTTTCAAAATCTTTGTCATTATTAAAAAGAAATATTGGAAAAAATCTTCCGATATAAATTTTTTGTACATTCTATAGAACCAAAGATATTTGGGAAATGCAAGTGTGTGAAAAAATAATTTTTATATTAAAAAAATTTTTAGGTAAAAAAAAAAAAAAAAAAAAAAACAAGATGTCCATTTTAAAAAAAACTATCAAAACTCAATTACTGGATTTTGTGAAAATTTGAATACTTATTCAATTAAACATGAAAATCATTCTAAAGACACTTCTATTGAAAATTCAAAAAAAAAAAAAAAAAAAGTTTCCATTCCACTTGAGATTTCACTTCCATTTTTAATTTTAGCTTGGATTATGCCAATGTAACCTACAGTGATAAAGATATATTGTCTATTTTTTTTTTTTTTCTTGTGGTTTCAAAAGTCTGAGAAATTCACTATTCCAGTCTGGTCACAATCAGTGGGTTTCAACAAATAGAACTGTATGCTTTAAACAATAAAAAACATTGTTTTAACAGTACACTCAAAAAACGAACAATATAGTTTGGGAGTTAAATTTAAAATCCACAATAATGTTTTTTTTGTTATTTGCAAATGTTTTTCTTTCCATATCAACTATAACAATTTTCATAACTTACTGGGAACAAATATTTTCCTCCAAGGTCTTGTGAATGTTTTACAGCAGAAACAAACTTTTGCGAGGATACAATCAATGTTCGTGGAACCAAAGATCCACTTATTTACAAGTCCCAAGCATTTGCTTTCTTCACACACTATGTATCAACTTACAGCCATATCACATTGAAACTACTGGTTCCTGTATTACATTCACCAAAGTTAAGCAATGTCGGGCCTGGTCAGTACCTAGATGGCTTTAAATAACGTTGAAAGAGTTGATAAAAAGAATCAATCACTCAAAAAGTATGTATCTCATCATCTCACCACAATGATAGATAAAAGATGTTTAATTTGATTTTTTTTGGCTTACTGTAAAGTTCTCTGTAAATGGTCCATTGCAACAATCAAAGCATCAATAACTATAAGGCGTGTTAAGGAAATAAAGTTTTTTTCTTTTTGTGAAAAAAAATAAAAAATTTTCAATAATGGATTGAAAACCATTCCAATAGCAAAGGAGTACCGTAATTCCCCATGTATAATTTCTATTCATCCATAATACGGACACCTGAAATTGTGCTGAAAGTGTGGGAAAATGCTTCTAATTCATGCACAATATGCATCCCTTGTTTGGTAATTCCCATGTATAATACGACTTGTTTGTAATTCTCTATGTATAATATGCCTTCATCCATAATACACACACCTAAAATTTTGCTGAAAGTATGGGAAAATGCTTCTACTCCTGCATAAAATGCAACTCTTGTTTGGTAATCAAACCCTATAAATTGTATCACTCCAATTTCATTACGGCCAGAATTTAAAAAAAAAAAAAAAAAAAGAAGTTTTAAACATAGAATAATATTATTGTAATTTAGTTTTATGATAATTCTTATTTTATTTTACAGCAATTTTTTTTTAATTTTTGTAGCTGTGCATAATACACACCCCTGATTTTGATTATTATTTTTTTAGAAAAAAATTTGTATTATACATGGGGAATTATGGTAAGTTAAAAAAAAATTCTCTTACATCATTAAATGCATTTATTTTTTTAAGAAAATGAAGTAGTCAATAGATTTCATGACATCACTCCATTACTGCCAATCTCTATTATGAACTTTTCTACTTTCATGATATTCTTTTTTGTTTTTGTTATTGTAACATGTCTGATTAATTAACTCTTAAAGATTTTATCATGTATTAAATTAAAATATCTTGAATAAATCAATTTGAAATGTTAACTTTTTTAAATATTTATATCAAATGTATTTCATATTAATCTTATGTTAATTTTTAATAATTAATATTTTTTTCATTGTACAATTTTTCTAAAATTTTTGTAGCTGTGCATAATACACACCACTGATTTTGCTTATTATTTTTTAGAAAAAAATTTGTATTATACATGGGGAATTATGGTAATCAATAGAGTGATACGAGTTATAAAAAAAAAAAAAAAAAACACATGACAGAAAAAAAAGAAATAAATGAATATAAAAACAAAAATTGTTCAAAAATTGAAAAAATAAAAAAGTGAAAAATTAATAATTTGGAGATAAATAAAACTTTACTATTTACATTATTGGGACTATTGCCCTCATCTTTATCGCCATATTTATTACGTTTCGGCTGTTGTACGCTTCGGCCTTCTTCAGATGGTTGGAATGTCAAACTGAACCCTTATTTTCACTCACTGGGGTAGACTGTTCTAGTTCCACATGCCATGTTTTTAATAAAGGGTTCAGTTCAACATTCCAACCACCTAAAGAAGGCTGGAGCATACAATAGCCGAAACGTTGTGATAAATATGGCGACAAAGATGAGGACAATAGTCCAAATAATGTAAATAGTGTACATAATACCTCATCTCAGAAATACAGACAAATAAAACTTCCATGAGAAATTCAAGGAAACATTTTATTTAAAACCAAAACTATTTATGGAAATTTGAAAAGAGACAGAGATAAAAAAAAAAATAAGAGTGAGAGAAAGAAAAAAAGAGAGAGTAGAACCTTAAGGTCTACATGAATTCCAAAACAATTTTAGCCTAATAGCAAGAAATCTGTCATCAAGACTACTTCCCCATTGCAGAGAGGGTTGCAATTTGGAGAACATCCTGATATCCAAAACAAAGGCAAAAGACATTGGTATTTTCAGGTACCTCTTCCTTTCTTTTACATGCCAATCTATGATCATGGATCTCCACAACTTCATATCCTTTGTAGCTCTTAGCAATGTTTGTCTTTCTACTATTTCTTCCACTTCCTGTCCTGTCATCCATTGACACAAGCTCCTTACATAAGTTACTCACTGCTTTCATCTGCTGCCTTCAATCTGTCCCTGTGAGTGTCAAATTCTCCAAGATCTCTTTCCTCATTACATGTCCCAGAAACAAAGCAAAGCACTCTCACTAGGTAAACTAGCTAGTAGATGGGAGTGGCAGAACCAAAAGACGGTAAAGGATGAAATGATATATGTATGTAATGCAAACCTCAGCCCTCCCCTTCAATGAAAGATTCCTTTGCAGCCACAGATTAACCATAGCAACAATCTTCTCCAGAACTTCTGACCAATTCTTTTCTATCATGACAAAATTCCCTGCATATGTCTTCATTCATCATCAGGGTTCTCCCATCCGGTGATGTGACACATGCAATATACTGATCTAAGGCACTTTGAAGTTCCTCTGCACACAATTCTGCAGCCATATTGGTTACCTCAGCAGACATTCTATTTAATCTTGCTCTAACTACCTCGCAAGGATAGTTCAGTACGCACAACTTACCTACTGGATCTGTGAAGACAAGTGAACAAGTTGCACCCAAAGAATGACTTACCAGCCAAGAAACACCCCTTGAACAGCTATCAAAGTATGCTGAACCACTTCAACAGCACACCTTCAAAGTCACTTGAAATAAAGTGGGTCTCTTGAATGCAACACATATTCACATCAATGTGTTGGAGATCATGAGTAAGTCAAACACTTTTCGACTCAGACCTCAACCTTTGGCCATTTAAACTTGCTAACCAAAGAGCCATGATTGAAGCTTACTGCCATTGCACAACTAAGATGAACATGCCATGGGTCAAGACATCGATGGCCTTCCCCAAAGATCCTTGGCCAAGTTCAGTCTTAATGATGCCATCCAGGGACAGCCCACTGATCCTCACTTCCTAAAAGGGACCAATTTGCTGTGTGCCCAGACCAACACCTGTCACTGTCAGTACTCTCTGCACTTTAGAGAAGTTTCTCAGATCCGCCACATTTGTTCCCCTCTACCATTTTGAAATTTTGGTGGACCCTTAATTCCCTCAGGTGCTGCATATTCTCTACCCCTCCCCGAAGATGTCCGGGCTCAAATAATAAATGCTTACTCCGCTGTTATATTTCTTTTTCAATTCACTTCTCTTTTTATATGGTAATCTCTACTTCTCTAAACTTTTTCTAAAGAGAGGAGTTTCTAGGTCTTTTGTTCTGAGGGAGCTGCATTGGCAGCGGCGGGGGGTGGAATGAGGAGGAATGGACAGTGGAGTAGGAGAATTATTTTTTCTCACAGTGAGAATTTGGGACCGAGAGAGGAAGGGGATGGAGTTAGGAACACCAGAGCCTGATTTAGATGATGAGAGGCCCCTTAGGTTATTCCACTTGTGAGCCCCCTCTAAATCCCCCATTCCCATGGAAGAATGTTAAATCAAACAATATGAGTAAAGCCAAAGTCGATGGTGGATGTTTAAAATTGCAGTTGGCAATTTCTCTTCTAAAGGATAGATGTTATTGTTAAATACAGAAATGATTAAAACAATGCATGAATGTTAAAATTTAACAAAATCCATAAAGAAAATCAATGCTAGCAAATCAAGTCATCAACTTAAGGCAGAATTATTCTGAAATGGAACATAAGGAAAATTACTGAAGGGTTGTTTAGAGTCTACAATGTGTTATGACAGCATGTGTAAGAAAGGCTTATGAGAGTGTTAAAAATATATTACACCTTGGCTGGAGGATCCCGAGATTTTGAGGCCCTAAGTTGCTAAGCCTATAGGTAAATCTGGCACTGAGAAACAGATTTTTTCTCATGTTTTTTCTTTTTTTCAAGTGATACCATAGTGGTGATAATAAAGTCATATCCACCTTTCGGGGAAGACACTATGTCACAGGAGGCAGAGTTTCCAATGGCATGTCTTTGCCTTTTTCAATCTAGATATTTTTTTTTAAATTATTGTTTGTTTTTTTTCTTCTCCTTTGAGGGACTTGTATAAATTCCAACCGTCTTGACAGTGTCAGCAAATGAATTTCTCAATTTCTTTTCTTCATCTAACAGGGATGGTAGTTGTTTTTTTCACTTTTGTCTTTTTACTGTTTGCCATTCTCAGTCTGTCTCTTCAAATAAGCCTTTTTAGGTGATAAAGATGATAGATCTAACCTGCTTGCTTAGTCCGTTGTTGTTATTTTGACTGTATCCGTAGAAGGTAGAGAATTCCATTGCTGGGCTCCCACTGCTCTTTCTGTAGTGATTTTACCTAGGCGCACTGCAGAGAGGTATCCTGCCTCTGCACAATGCCAGCACACGTGTTTCCTTTCAGATATAATTACTGGCAGTTTTTACACACTGATGTCTATCCAGTTGGGTATGGTATTAAAAAAATTTGTGGTTCACCATAATGCGGAACCGTCACACCATTTTGTCCGGTATGATTTCACTGATTTCCCTATGTTGGAGCAAAGATCATTCAACTTGTTGACCAGATATGAAGTACTTCGTACACTGTCACGCAAATACGATGCAATATTTGGTACTCTGCCTTTCCTTGTTTTGTAACTCCCTTTCCATCAGCGCTATGCAATCTTCAGGTGAGGCCAGCAATATTTTCCACATTGGGAAATCTCTCCCTCGTACTATTTGTTGGATGCTAATACCTAGTTCAGCTAGTGTTTTAATAATGGATTCTTTACTCGTCTTTAGCATCTGGTTGGTTCAGTTTTTATCTATTACAAAAACCGTTGTGATGTTTTTCTCTACTGTTTCCAGTACAGAAATATTAATAATCAGTCTGTCTTGTTTAACCAGATCTGATTAATTGCTTTGCCTGTCTAATGAATTCTTTTACATCAATGATACAGGGAGGTGTTTTTCCAAGTGGAAGAAGAGGCCTTGGCTGTAGGTTCTTTTTGGTCCTTGTTGGGGTGTCATAGTCAGATTTTTCTTTCAATGTTCAGTGCCCGTTTTTTCTGGGATTTTAAATAAGGACTTGAGTACCTTACTGACATCCTTCTTGTCCATTTTGGACAAAGCAAGAAATGGTAAAATCCAAATCAAATAAGAAACTTTTTAACGGATTGTAAAAAAAAAAAAAAAAAAAAAAAAAAAGAGTAAATTTTCCTTGTAGTGTCAATACAAACAAAAAAAGAAAATGAACCACAAAATTGATTGTGATTGAACTCAAAAAACAAGCTTTTCCTAAAGTCAATATCAATTGTGTGAGAATAGCTACCAGAAGCGCCTCATCTGTCAAATTATCTAACATAGATTCCAGAGGCAAATAAATCTTCTCCCCTCTGAACAAACTGTTAGAAATTCTTATCGAAAAGGTAGGCATCAGTTTGTAATTAGCAGGTAGGTCAAGGTAATTCAAGGTATTTGTTAGCTAAGGAATAAGAGTGAAATCCTTGAGAGAATAGTTAACAGTTACTGTTCAAATTGGCCAGAGACGATCTTACCTCAAATGTTAATATTTCAGGTCTTGCCACTTTCTTGTTTTGGTACCTACTCACATCAAAAAAGATGTTGTATTTTGTGACTGAGGGTTGTCAAGAGAAATATTGATGTAAAGTTTTGAGCTGGTAGGAGGTTTTTAGGGAATTTAACTTCCTTCTTTCTGAGTACAAAGCTTTGATACTTTGTTCTTTGGTAAGGTCAATAGCAATATTTTCTAATCCCATCTGAGATTTCACTGGGAAACCTAGTTTTCTTAGTTTGTTCAGGGAAAGAGGAAGCAAAAAATTTAACTTCTAAAGACCAGTGGATGCAACAAATACTGAGACAAAGAATATATCGGCTAAAGTGCTGAGTAAAAAGCAAGGCTAAAAGATCCTACACTAAAAAATGTGAAGACTACTGAATAGAAAAAAACATTACAAAAACATATCAATAAGTAGAGTGCAATGGTGTTATGGTGACCTATCTATATTAGAATGAACTCTTTCTCCTTCATAAATACTAACCTGCAAGACTTCCAAAGCAGGCAGTCGGGATACAGTATAACCTGACAGTTTGGACGTACACTTCTATCTGCTGACTGATAACACTCTTATTTTGTATATATGTTCTGTTATTTCAATACACTTGTTCAACCTACCTTCTTCTGTGTCTTTCTTTCTGGCCTCTAACAGACCACAACAAATGGGTAAATTGTTGCCATTTTATATTTTTAATTTCACACCTTCTGTGATATTTGTTTTTTTTATTTTGTCAACTATAAAGTATAGTTAGGTCAGTTGGGTACCGTCTGTGAGAAAAAAAGCACCATGACGCAATTCACTCAGCCAGAAATTTGGAAACTTCATGCTGTACTCCTTGGCATTCACACCGGAAGCTCCAATACGAACATTTCAGAGTGTTTGGGTGTCAATCTGAGGACAGTGCAGAGGATTCGAAAAGAGTTGGATGAGTCTAATGGTGATTATGAAGATGTTTAGAGGGTTCACTAGTGATGGCAACATTATGTCTCCATTCATCATTCCACAGGGTCTCAGACTCAACACAGAGGCCTACATTTAGTGCCTTGAGGAGGTAGTGCTGCCCTGGGGCAAGAGGGTGGCTGCTGAAAGACCATATGTCTAGCAACAGGACTCTGCACCATACCACACAAGCAGGAGAACTGTCAGATAATTTCTGCAGCCATATCACCCCTAACATCTGGCCACCTAACTCCCCAGGCTGCAACCCCCTTGATTATGTGTGGGTGCAGTTGAGCGAGAGACCAACAAAACCCCTTGTAACACCAAAGATGAACTAAAGGCAAGAATTATGGCAACATTCATCAACTTAAACAAGGAAGCCATCCAAAAGAGTTGCAAGAGTTTCCAAAGTCATCTGGAGGCCTGATGTTAAAGCCAATGGTGATTTTATTGAATAAATTTACTCTTTAGTATTTCAAGATACTTTTGTGTAATTCTGTTAAATATATCTGTTAAAATGAGATGTCAGTGTTATTTTCATTTTTACATAATTTTAGAAGACAATTTCTCCATCGCACCCTGTAAATAATCAAACACAGTTATTAAATTGATTTGGATCTGAAATTTTCACTGTATAAGACTTGATTTATGCAATTAAAATTCACCACTAATGCAACTGAAAAAGAAGGGGATTGTTACTTACACTATTTCCATGTGGACTATTGTCTTCATTGTTGGTTTCCCACAACATTTCGGCTGTTATGCCCTCTGGTCTTCAACAGATGTATATCGATGCAAGCAACGTACTGAGAATTCTGAACTAAACCCTTTATTTAATCTACAAAGGTAGAGTGTTCTCGTTCCACTGTCCATGTCTAGGGATATCTCATCTAGTTCTTATTTTTTAGTATTTCTCAGTTATTGCTTGCCCTGTTTCCACTGAATCCAAGTACAGACTGTCCAACCCAGAGATTGGACTCACAATTTCTATGACACCAAATTCACAAATTAAATTAATACACTGTAGAACAATTCTCTGTAGAAAACTTGAAGTCTTAAACCTAACCCACCTGTTGATGCGTGCTGCTGATACTGGTCATGCTTGACTGAACTCACTGAAACTTTTCTCTTTTGTTATAGCTGCTGTAGAAAACTTGCTATCATTTTTCTTCCTTTAGTAGCAGCTCCCATATTGTATTTATCTCTACACTAGGCCTACTAAGGAGATCCTCATAGCCTACCATATGCACTGATTTTTTCAAATTTCCAACTCTCCAGTGTTCTTCCTTGTCAAGTAATTTCACTTTATTCCACAGGAGCTGATGACTAATTTTTCCCCTCCATACATGATCAGCCATGCATGCTTTCATTTTTTTCACCCCTCACTACAGCTTTTTGAAAGATGAGGACAATAGTCCCCATGTAAATAATGAAGAGGGTTATGTTGGAAAATAAAATATTTGTGGTTAAAAATAAAAGTTTTTTTTTCAAGTTATACATTTATTGATGGAATTTCTCAAAAATTGTAAATTTAAATAAGCAATGTAAAATGTCAACTTAAAAGAACAAATTAAGCTGAATCAAGTTTTCTGAAATTCTGTGACAAAGTATTTTTATTGCTCTCTATTGTTCTTTGGATTATTATCATGATGTTTGTTGTTCAATGTTTTAGACAATACATTCTTTGGTCTTCCTGCTGATAACAAGAAAAAATGGCAAACAACTTTTACGGACCAAATCTAATAATCAACCTGAAGAAAGGCAGAGAATATATTGGCTGAAATGTTTAAGAAAAACTAAAATCAAGACAACAGTTTGAGAATATATCTGCAAGAATTTGTTTAAATTTTTTAAAAAGATACAATCTGCTGATGTTGTCTTAGAGTGAGTGTATTTTGTGACATATTCCAGGAAATCAAAACTGGCCACATTAAGAGGCTGTACCACTGACACATTCCTGTAAGACTCGCCGTCCTCATCTGCAGCTGCTAAGGGGTTGTCTGTTTCCACTGTACCAAACAACACCAATGCAATTTCATCTTTGGATTCAGCAAATATCTAAAGATATAAACATTATAATGTAAGTTCTTATATATATATATGATGATGATGCATTCACATGTGGTATTATATCAAAGGAACAAAAGATGCAAATTGTTTAGAGTAGTTGGCATATCAGTTAAGATTTGTCAATCAGATTTAATAAATCAAAAAGTTGTCTTGAGTTTTTGACTAAGATTAATTTATGAGCAATAAAGATGAGGACAACAGTTTGAACAATGTAAATAGTGTAGACATTGCATTTATTTTGGTGTTTTAATCACTGGCATAAACCTATTATTAAAAAATGAATATAAGTTTTGTATGTGAAATAATTTTTATATTTTTTTTCTCTTATTTGAATGTACTGCAATATTTCTCTTTGTAAATAAATATTTTTAGAAGAGAAATAAATTTCCTTAAAAAATTTACCAAATCATAAGGTTGAAGCAAATTCAATTCAACAAAAGTATTTGGAAAACAAATGGTTATATAGATTGGTAAATGCAGCACAATTTGTTTGATTGATAAGTGACAAAACTTAGAGATAGCAATATACTGGAAAGTTTTTTAGAATTCTTAAAAAACCCAAAAAAAAAAAAAAAAAAAAAAGAAAAGTAAAAAAATGATTTTTCTTTTTAAATGCCATGTACCTTGAGGACATTGATGATCATGGCTCCCCATTTATTCTATCTATGAATTGCTATGACTTTTTTGGAAAGACAGTGGAGTGGTTTGCCAATGCCTTCTCCTCAATTTTGAATTCAGATTACTCCTTCTCCTAGACTCAATTCTACGCTGCTATTTAATTCACAGCCTGGGGAAGAAGTGATGAATTAATGTTTTTCACAAGGGTATATTTTTCAAAAATTAACACTATAGATTTGAAAGAAATTTGAACTTAGCTAACTAATTCCATTTTCCGTAGTAATAACTGTTACACTATCTGTTGAGGGGTTGAGCCGTTAGAGTGTTTGCTTTCGACCATGAGACCTGGATTCAAATTGCACTATAATTGTTTTATCAGTAAAGTGTATTGTTGATGTTATCAGCCTGGGGTCGAGATCCCAGTGTGTATCACCTTTGAAAAGTACCAGAAACCTATACCACGGGTTCACCCAAGCCTTGTGAGTGAAATTGGATAGACTGTTCAGAGGCTGTCGACAGTTGTGTTAGCATGAAATCACAAGTCATTTTGATCGAGATGATATACTCCCTCCCAGAAACTGCAGCAAAGGCATACTGAACAGAATTGCAGTATAAACCACAGGTGGGTTCTGTTCACACCAAATGTACCTATGCAGACATCTGCAAAAGGGATATACATTGACTTGATATTTTTTGAAAAAAGAAAAATGTTTCTGCTTATGTAAGTACCTCCATAAAAACACTAAAAAAAATCAGCATACCGTGAGGAAAACATGCTCCAAATGTAATGAAAATATAGTTTTTTATTTTTATGATATTATTAAGAGGAAGGATCAAAGTATTTTTTAATTACTTAAATAAATTTTTTACTCCTTTTTAGAACATTCAAAATTTCAATTAAAAATCTTGTTTTTCTTTCGTCAGTTGTACTGACTTTTAGTATAACAAATCTTCTCATTTTTGCAGTAACAGACACATTAATTTGGAAATGCTTGCAAAAATCAAATAATTGCAGGATTTTAATTAAATTTTCAGTGAATATATTAGTTAAAAGCAGAATACTTTGAAGAATTTAAATCACCAAAATCTTTTCGCAAAATCGGACCATGTCTTACCAAAAATCTGTTCTGAATCGAAAAATAAAAAACACAATAAAACTAAGACATTATTTAATTAGAAAAGCTTTTAATTGCTTTTATGGATATAATATATATAAAAAAAAGTATATCTAAAGAAAAAAAAATTTTCAATGTAAAATGAATTTTTACAAGATTTGTTCTCATTTTTTTTACAATTTTAAATTGAATAATTTATAAAGTTTTTAAATCTTTTAAAATTCATTTTCAATGGGGTAACACTTAGGAAATATTGTTATTAAGTAAAACTACATTTACTAATCATAATCATATATTGCAAAGCTTATTATGATCAGATGACCCTGCATATTTTTTTTTTAAATTTCTATTTTTTTGTGTTTAAACATCCTAACTTTTCTAAGTATGCAAGTTTGTACATGACATTATCATTAAAAGGTCATGTTTTAAAGATTGTTCCCCCTTACAGAAAAAAAAACAAAAGTCACTGATATAAAATTTATCATCTGCATCACCATGCTAAACTTTTCAAGATGTTAGGCTGTTGATAAATCAATTACCAGTTCAGAAAAACAAGACCCTGGGGTTAACAAATGATTGTATATGCTATAAGTAATATTTCTTTCAAACCAGATTAATTAACTTTAAATTTGTTAATTTAACTCTAATAATGTTTCAGAAACATATTTTATTTTTGCAATATTTTTAAAACTGAGAATTAACTTTTGTTTACAAATGTGTCAAAATGGCCGATTTTATCAATTTTACTGTAAAAAAATAAATAGATTCTGATCAATATAATTTCTGTTTGAAATACATCACAGGGTATTTACTTATTGGAAATAGTAAATTTTAAGTCCTTTAGCTATCAATTAAAGCTAAAATGAAAGCTTCAAGAAAGCTTTTTTATTTCTAAAAATTCATTTTAAACCTTATGTATACTAAATTAGTGGCGGTACCTATGTTTATGAAACTGTAATTAACCCATCTTTAATAAGAGTAAAATTGGCCCCAAATAATAAATAAACATCAAAGTGAGTTTTTAATTAAATAAGACAAAAGGTTTGCAAACTTAAATTTGACAAACAGTTTACATTTTGGAAGTTATTACCAGTGCATAGATAATATACAGCTATCTACAAAATAACTTTTAGGGTTAGAAATAGAATGGGATTGATATAGAAATGTCAAGAATATAAGAATTAACATGTTTTAAATGTACAAACCTTGCGCTGTACAATCAACGTAATAGCATCCAGAGCTGCTTGTAGTGGAGAATCCTGGCCAGGTGGAGCATCGCACATGGATGGACTAACGTCCAACACAAGAATAACTGTTTCCTGAGAAAGGAAAAACAAAATATTAATATTAGGTAAATATAAACAAACCATTTTGGAACATACCTAAAAGCAATTTAAATTATCCAGTAAATTTAACAAAATCAACAAACTAATCTGTATATTTCAAAACAGTGGAGTAATAGATAGTGGCTCGGATTAAGATCGGAGAGCCGAGTTTGAATTCCAGTCAGATCCATTACATTCACTTACATGTTAATACTCTTGGGAAAGGTATGAATCCTCTTCTTCTCACCCCAGTTATGGGTACATAGCAGGACACACCGGGTTCTATAGCCTTGGATGGCATCAGGTCTACCATAGAAAGAAATGGTAACCTACTACGTAAAAAAATCTGCCTCGTTAGTCATGTATTGAAAGATACATGATCGCCTAAGCATGTATCACGTATGGCACATAACTGAACTGATATTCACTTACATGCTAATACCCTTAGGAAAGGTATGAATCCTCTTCTCCCACCACCAGCTATGGGTAAATAGCAGGACAGACCAGGTTCTGTAGCATTGGATGGCATCTGGTCTACCACAGTAAGAAATGACAAACTACTGCATGAAAAAAATCTGCCTTGTTAGTCATGTATTGAGAGATACATGATCGCCTAAGCATGTATCATGCATGGCACATAAAGGCTAATTTTATTTTGTGAGTATGCTTTTTTTTCTGAAATGAAAACAAAAATATTAGCACTCACGGTTTTAAAATATTTACCAAAAATTAGGGAATTCTTTCAAACATAATTTTCAATACTTGTTCATTAATGAATTGTATACTGAATACAATTTTTAATTTGTGGAAATATTTTTGGGGGATTTGTTTCACCCTACCCCCTGGTTCTGATATCTCATGTGTACGTCTTAATTTGGAGTGATGAAAATCTTTTAGTAGCTAAAGAAAAATCCCTGAAAATGTCATGTAAGTAAAATATTTATGCAATACCAAGTATGAACATACAGAAAATTCGTCCTGAATCTTACCAAAAATAATTCAATAACTCAAAAAATAGATTTTTTTGACAGTTGATGCTTGCAGAATTTAATAAAACATTATTTGCTTGCAGATTGAACAAAAAAATCTACACTTAATATTTATTTTTTAAAAATTAATTATAATTTTTTAGTGCGATTTTAAAATTCATCCTGTTCCTGTTCATCATAAGATATTTTTTTTTTTTAAAGACATGGTTGAAGAATTGAAAAATGTAAAGTTTAATGCCATTTTCAAGTGTAAACTATTTTTTTTCATTTTTAGCAAGAGTTACATTATTTTTGGTATGGATGTTCAAAAAAGAAATAATACTGCATTACCACCTTTGACTACTTTTCTCTATCAGAAGAGCAATATACTAATTCAATAACTCTTAAATTCAGAATAATTTTTTTAAAAAATGCACATTGGGTGCAATTAGATATTTTATGACATGAAACAGGTATGAAAATAATAAAAAATAAAAGCAATGTATGAAACTCAAAAGTATCATTTAATTAAAAAAAAAAACCTAATGTAGTATAAAATTATTCACTCTAAGTTTCATAAAATCATATAAAACATAAAATTATAATTAAACTATTGGTTAAATAAGGTTAAAGATAATTTATTTTTAAAAATAACAATGTTTTGATTATTGCACTAGTCTTCTGTATTGCTGTAATTTTTATTTTTTCGCGCGCTTTTTAAGTCAGGGGTGTAATTATTATACATTTTTATTTTTTACGTTTGACTCCACAGGCTACCGTTCGTTGATAAACGTTATTTTCATTGAGTTTTAAAGTAAAAATTAAACATTATTTTTTTTTTTTTACCAAATCCAGTAAATTAATCCTTAAAATTAATGCAAAAATTAAAAAAAAGCTTTCTTCTTGTTGCCAATCTCAAAAAAAAAAAAAAAAAAAAAAAAAAAAAAAAATGGTAACGATTAAAAAAATTAAAATTTTTTGCAGTATGAGAATAGAATACTAATTAATATCATTTTAATTTAGATTAAAAATAAAATAGAATTTTATTTAAAATTTTATCTTTAATATTTCTTACAAAAGTTTTTTTCAATAACATTAGAAAAAATATATATTTTTTGTTATTATTTTTTAAATTAGAATTTTCAAACTAAATTAAATTTTAAAACATTAGAAAATCTTGTTAGTATTACAAACCAACTTCAGTTTGTTTTTAAGTGTTTTGTTTTAAAAAGGCCCCTTTTCAAAAAATAATTCTTTTTTGGTTTAACTTTATAATTTCACAATATATCCAAAGAAAAACAAAACTTCAATTCATGTAAACAAATCATGAACGGTGTAGAAGTAAACATGTATCCCGCTATTTAATGATCCGGATTATTGCACAAAGTCCTAATTCGTCAATCTACCTACACTTTGTCCAATATTGTGAACAAATTGAGTTTTAAAATGTTCAACAGCATTTTGTTCGTTGAAAAACGTATGCAATTAATTAACATATAAAATGAAAAGGATTTTTAAGCCTTCGAGTAGAAAAAAGTCAAATTTATTCTTTGACAAGGAAGACTCATAAATCAGTCACTACCTTTATTTTTTTTTTATTCGAAATTACATTTTGTGAAAATAAAGAGAGCCATGATATTTTTTTTATTTTAAAGATAAACACTTTGTGCCATTATTTTTGCACGAATTCGAAAAGAATACGATCGCTATTTTTTATGATTGCAAATGATAAAAGCTAATAAATTACTAAAACTAAGACTAGACAGAAGTGCGAGTTGTTGTTTAATTTTTTAATCGACATTTATCAAAACAAAACGGAATAAAAATAAACATGACGAAATAGAAATACGACTTTTTACACTTTTAAGTTTGTATAGTTTTCTTTCGTAATGGGTAAGAAGAACGATATTTTAATGTTGTCAACAGACATATGATCAAATATCCTACTGCAACCATCACTTAAAATGTCAATAAAATATAAAATTTAAATCCATAGTGTCAGTGACCAATACAGTCTAGACATGGAACTGTAAATTTCAAAAGGAATTAAAACGAAGTTATGCTTGCTGTAATCGACTATAAGGTTTGTTTGTTTTTTTAATAATTCTATAAGAAATATAGGAAAGAAGAAGAAGAGAAAAAAAAACGAAAACTGGACAGAAGAAACCGGCCATGTTTATAAATGTTAAATGAAGCACGTTGCTTTAGTTTTTCCGTTTGATTCGGATTATTCCGTACAATCGCGGGAAAAAATAAATTTGCCTTTCTTTTCCGAAGCTATAACAGAACCTTAAAGAGAAGAGAAATTATTTTTTCGAAATGAATTTTTTAGTATATAAAATTAAATATTTCAAAATAAGGCCATAAGCAGTGACACCTTGCCGAAAAATAAAGGCGCCAACTCAGGAGAGTTGTAAACATTAAAAACAGTGAATAATTACATCAAACAAATTTCAGACTGGAATTTTGTTTGAAATATATCAACTTCTTTTCTGATAGTTCCCTTCCAATAAAAACCCGATAAATATGTTATTAACTCTCTGTAAATCAGATACCCACCTTATTTTGTGCCATTTATTTTAAATGTGCTGGTTGTTGTGGTGGTTGTCTATGCACTTTTTTCTAGTCCCCCGCCTTTCCGCTGAGGAAGACGGTGACACAGGTGTTTTGTTACCTCGTCTTTTCGATTGGAAACTTTTATTAATGTGCACTTTGAACTTTAATTTGAATTCTGTACCAACTTTTAGTAATAATGATGCATAATGATAAAACACATACAAATAACATTAAATTTAGGCCGTTAAAAATAATGTAATGACATAAAAAGTTAAAGAAAACATTTTAAATTATATTTTTTAAAGAGTACGTGCCTAAAAATTAAGTTTTAGATAAAAAATAAAAAAATCTTTATTACACATTAAAATATGCTTCCCCCTTCCTTTCACGTAACTTGTTGTTGCTCTGTGATTTTTTTCCCTCCTTCTTTCCCCTCACACAAAAATTGTGTTGTTCATTAATTCATTGCTTTTAAAATTTTCAAGTATTATCTGTTATTAATAACAAATTTGGATTTTAATCGATAAGAGAAAGTTAAATGGAAAAACTTTATTTGAAAAAATAAAAATTTGTACATGGGTCAAGTTTAGATTTCGCCTTGGTCAAGTTTAAAAGTAAGACTTTCCTTTTCGGGTATTTCCGGTAATTTCCGGCAGCGCACTTGCAATATCACTATCACATGCCCATTATTGTTGCTGTAGAAACCAAGTTCGTGATGGAATAGAAAAAAAAAGAATAATAATAATAATAATAATAATAAAATTAATGTTTTACTTGATTCGGAAAGTTTTACTTTTATCTGTTGATAAAATACTACAAAGAAAGAAAAGCGAAAAACTGCGATAAAAAAAACTTTCTAAGTCGATAAAAAAGTAGGTAAATAAATTTAGTTTTTTCTTTTTAAATTTAAAAAATAATTGAAAAAGAAAACGTTTAAAAAAACTTCATCCTAGATTTTTAATTTCATATTTGTTTTTCTTAACTTATAAATTGTTTTTCTTTTCTTTTCTTTTTTTTTTGTTTTAAAGATGAACAGCAAAACTTTATATTTCTTTTTATCATTTTTATTGAAGTATTGAAAAAAGCCTATTTTACATCACATGTGTAACAAATAAATTAATTAAGATGCCCGATTGACATGTACTATTGAGTAGTGAGTTCGATCCTTAGTAAATTTCCCAGATTTATGGTCTTTGTGCACAAGACCATAAATCTGAGAAAGCATAGTGAATAGTAAAAAAATTAATTATTGTGAATTTTGCTTATAAAAAAAAAACGAAGATAAACTAATTGCCCGCAGAGCTGAATGCAAGTTTGTTTTGTTTTTAAGTCGTTCTGTGAAAAAAAAAGAAACCGGCTTTACATTTTTTTGGTTTCTCAAATACGCGTTTTTCTTTTTAAAGATGGCATTTTTTTTCATAACTTTGGCTTTTTTTAATAATTTCTGTTTGAATTTGGGGGATAATGAGTTTTCTTATTAACAAACATCTTTGTAGTTATCACCACAGCGTTTTTTTTGTTTTTGTTTTTTTTTTTTTTCAAAGTTTCGAGTCGAGCAATATGAGCTGAGCTCTGTAGACTTCTTCAGATGTCTCTTCAGTTCGAAATTCGTTGAAGTTTACTCGGATCAACAGACATCTGTAGGAGGATAGAGGGCACATATGCCTAAACTTTGATTCGTAAATTTTTTTTTTTTTTTCATCCAAATTAAATAAAACCTGTCACTAAATTTTAAAAATCTTGTGTAGTGTAACAGATTTAGTTTTAAAAAAGTAAAGATTTCTTATTTACTACGCTGAGTCTGGCACAGAACTGTAGTTAAACAACACTCCATAAGGGTTCGACTTACTACACAAGATTCCACTAAGCACACATGTAACTTTATTTTATTTTTAAGCAAATTAATAGGGACTACAAAGAGGATATTAAACACGTACAGATTCTCAACTTCTTATAAAGGAGAAAATCCAGCTCTTAAAAAGAAAAATGCCAAGCAAGAGAAAGGGTAACATCTCTGGGCAAAATTTGGTATTTCATAATTTTCAGATTGTAAACGAACATAGCTAATGACGACTGTCAGAGTAAGGACAGTTTTAAAAATATACAAAAAGATTTTTGAAATTCAATCAGTTATATGCCATGAATGATACACGCTTAGGCGATCATGTATCTTTCGATACATGACTGACGAGGCAAATTTTTTTACCCACAGTAGTTTGCCATTTCTTTCTGTAGGCCAGTTGCCATCCAAGGTCTGTCCTGCTATTTACACATAGCTGGGGGAGGGGAGAAGAGGATTCATACCTTTCCCAAGGGTAATAGCACATAAGTGAATGTAATGGATTCAACTGGAAATCAAACTCGGCTCTCTGATTCCGCAATTGGTTACTCCACTGTTTTTGAAATTAGATTTCCCTAAAGCATGATATATACTGCTATCATTATATATAAGAAAAGAAGAATTTTTTTTTCTGATGTAAAATCTTTTTAAATATTTTTTTCATCTAGTAACATCAGATTCATTTGGTGTCTCCATAGGCATCAAATCATTCCAAGCCTCTTAATGCTTTCTGGAATAAATGTCAATCCAAGAAAGTCACAAAAATAAAATTTGGGATTAAAACTTTAAAACATTGTGTTGATGGATGGATGTGAGAATGCAATTTGCAGTCTTTTTGTGAATATTTCTGACCATAGAAGAAAAATTTTTTTACAAAAAGCCTTGTCTATCCTGAAGTAAATTCAGGCTTATTAAAGAAAAAAATTGATAGATGAAACTTATTTCTAAACAACTGAAATACAAATTTTATAACAATGATCAAATTGTGCTCAGGACTTGTTAATAAAATTGTAATTTGGCTGTAGTTTGAAATTATGATCTTAACCAAAATGCTTATCTTCCTGCATAAAATATTTCATGGTTAATATTTTATATTTTTAAGCATCTTATAAATTTAAATTAAATAATTTTTTTAAAATGAAATATCAGTTATTTGAAATTTTATAGAAAATATTTCTTGTGCTATTAAAAGGAATTTTTTTGTACATTAAATTTTCTTTTATGTCAATAAATTTTTTTTCTCTCTCTTTTTTTTTTTTTTTTTAGTTTTTATCCCAAGAAATGAGCCAATGATTATGCCTTTTGCAACAGTTCGCAATTCTCAACCTGGAAGTGCCAGAACACCTCGGCATGGCTACAAAACAGTCTCTCCTAGATCAGAGGTCGATGAATTATTGTTCACATCCCACAATGCCTTAAGCAAAGATGACAAATTTGATCCACGGTGGAAACCATTTGAATCAAAGGAGAAGATAAAGCCCCCACTGTTGTGGGCACCTACCCCAAACATAGAAAAAAAATTGCTACAAAAATCCCCTTTTGCAAAGAAGTATACTCCTGTTAAAATGGTTCCTTCATTTGTTGATGAGAGTTTGTTTGGTCCCAAAATAAAAGAACCTGATTTCCCTGCTCCTTGGGAGAACAAAAAAAAGAGAGCAGTATTATTATGGTCTCCTTGTAACAACATCTCAAAAGAAGACCAAAAGACATCAAATACAAAGTTTAGATCTAACACTCCAAATTCTGTAAGGAAACCAAAACCTTCAAAACCAATATGGAAACCTTAAATTTCTATAAACTATTTCATGAGTATCTTTAAAACTTGAAAGGACAACTAAACTATCTTGGAATTTTATTTATATTTAATATTAATGTAATATAATTGTCTTCATCTGAGTCATGAAAACGCAAGACTAAACCTCGCATATTTTTGTTTATTCGACTCCGGACTTTCTCAATTTAATGTTGACTTATGACTTTGGGATTTTCTACGAGTATGGATTCTTCATTTTGCAAGAGTGCAACAGATTCTGTTCTGCTGCCTCTTTGGTCAGTGTTTATATCTTTTCTTGTCATACATTTTTTTTTCCAAGCATGTACATCCTAGGTCCACGTGTTGACGTGCCAGGTGGATCTGCACTCAGTAACCAAGAAGACATCTTCCAGGATAACTTGCTGGTGCACTGTGCTTCTTTGATTGTCTAGTGCAGCATTGAGTGCAAAGTCTCTTCTAGGATCACCACAGACTAACCTCTCCTTGAAAAAAAGTTCTTCATTGATATTAAATTTGATTCAGACCATCTGATATCAATGTATCATGAATCACATGCTACATTGATATCAACATTCTACATCAGAAAAAATTTTTTTATTTATATATAGGATATCATGGTCATATGTTATCATAGTCAAATGATATATATAGGATATCATGGTCATATGATATATATATGATATCATAGTCAAATGATATATATAAGATATCATGGTCATGTGATATGGTCATATGATATATATAGGATATCATGGTCATATGATATCTCACTACTTTGTGTGTCAAGTTACTTCTCATGAGCTTTCTCTGCCATATTTGTGGATTTGTGTCAGACTAAACCAATTTTATTTATTCTGTGATTTCACAAATCGATGTCTAATATGATATATGCACACATTTACTATTTACTGATTTGAAGTGGACCTTGCATTTGTCTATATTGCTGGGAGGAGGTATTATATCTATTTATACTATTTACATTGTTCAGATTTTATTGTCATGTTCATGACGTTTCTGCTGTTGTATGCTTCGGCCTTCTTCAGGTGATATATGTTGGAATTTCAAATCAAATCCTTTATTTAGTCCACGGAGATAGATTGTTCTAATTCCACAAGCCATGCCTTTTCTGGATATCTCAGTTACAGTTATTTCCCTTTGGAAACTCAACTCTCTAAGTTTTTGTTCATCAATGCTGTTACCAGTTATTGAACTCACAACTCTTTGGGTTAAGTCACCAGATTACTTTAACCAACGCTTTTATCCACTCGGCCATGTGTCCTTGCGGCCAGAGCAACAACAGCCAAAACATCATGAGTGTGACAATAAAGATGAGGACAACAGTCCGAACAATGTAAATAGTGTAAACATTGCATTTATTTTGGTGTTTTAATCACTGGCATAAAG